AGCCCCACCTTTTAGTCTTGTCTTGCTGTCTCTTTGTTACGTCTTTCCTTTTCTCAGTCCTGCAGCACAGGTTTCTGGACCTGATCGATTGTCGGCTGGCTCCGACACCTGGCCCTCCAGCCGAGTTCAGTATACAGTTGTGCAGGCGAGATCATGACAAAGCCACCGCTTAATAGGCATTTACCATTTATCAGGCGCTGTGCCAAGTGCTGTATCTAATGCCCTCAGTTAATCCTCTCCTTTACGAGATGAGAGAGTTTTGCTATCCCTGTTTTACAGATGAAGAAAGAGAAGCTTGGAAAGACTGAGGAAAGAGTCCCGGGTCATGCAGCCAGCAAATGGCAGGGTTTTGCTTTTAAAATCCCAAACCTAAAACCGACGTGCTTAATGTCCGCCTCCACCCATGCCTGGCCTTGCTCCTGTGCTTGAGGACCAGCAGGATGGCAGCCTTGCAACTGAAGAAGGACCGATGGAAAGAAGGCTCCTTGTCACCATCTCGCAATCCCATCCCACTTTGGGCTGGGATGGTCTCAGAGCATGTGGAGGGTGGTGCCTATAAACCCAGGTCAAATAGGTCCACCCTAGCCGGAGCCCCTGGGTGGGGGGACTGGGCAGCCCCCCTCTACCCCGGCAGTGGCGGGCAGGCCCCATCAGTCTGCTGTCTGTCCATGAGGGGCTTTTGGCTTTCCTGCTCGAGCGAGCCGTGGGGGCAGCCTGGGTGCAGCTGCCTTCCCCTGGCCTAGCTATGATGTTCACTCTCAGAGTTGCTGGCCATCTGGGTCCACTCTCCTGAGAGAGACAGAGGGGGCCTCTCGGGTGAATTTAGATCTGGTCTTAAAGTTGGATCTTCACTTCCGGTGCTCCTGGCACCAGGGCTGTGTGTTTCCTCTTCCCACTGGATCTGAGGGCTTCTCTCTCTGGCCTGTCTGGAGCTTGGTCCACACCCAGCAGATGCTAAATCACTCAGGAAAGATGAAGCTGTACGAGAAAAACACCAGCTCCAGCCTCCTCACCCCACCCAGGCCTGGAGGCTCCGGGGGAGGGGCCCTCTGGTCTCGGAGAGGTGGCGCTCTCTGTGGGGTCAGGCAGGGGTCAGGGCCCTGCAGGTGATTCTGGCCGCAGGGTCATCCTTAGCTTCCTCCACTGGGCAGTAGCTGGCCTGTGGCAAGTCTGACCTCAGTGGGTGTGGTCCCTGAGCCATGACCTCTGTTGGGCCCAACTTGCCCTCATTAGCTTCCTTCTTCCCATCTCAGGTGGTTATTGACCAGCGAAGAGTTCAAGGCAGCAGTGACATGTCTCATACCGACTTTATCCCAGTCTTAGCGGCCCTGCCCCATCCCTAAGCTTGCGCTGCCCCGGCTGCCTCCTCCCAGTCTTCGCAGCACATGCTTTCTTTCTGTTTAGGGATCTGATGCCTCTGCATGGCCAACACAGAGACACAGCTGTTCTCAGTCCCTTTGGTAATAGGACAAGGGTGTATAAACAAGACCATAACGTGGACTCTAGGACCCAAGGCAGGTAAGTCCCACTGCACGTCACTGGCACTGTGTAAGCTGTTGCACACAATTGAGAATGGAGTAGATGGTCATTACACAAGTACGAGGTAAATCATGTGCCAAAGTCAATAGGAGTATCACAATGCTTGAGTGTCCAAACATCAACTTACGATCTTTCTTCTTACCTTTCTTTCCCATAAGTTTATCACTTTAGGTAAAAGTTGTTCCTCTTCAGCCTCTGTTGTTCCTGGGCTGGTAATTAAAAAATCTACATCATGCCCAATCTGCTTACCCCTGATTAATAAAATAGTATAAAATGGAAATAAATTAGATTTGCAGCTGTTTGTTTTTTAAAGTCACCTGTGTTTCTCTGCCTCATGCTTAAGGTTTGCAACACAAAATGCTCATGGCATTAAACAAAATATCCTTGGTTATACAATTCTATTCTTTGTAAAATAAATTTATGACACAGAAAAACTTAAAAATCACACATCTTATATATATGATATGTGCATGTTGGTAAAAAAATGACAAAGATATTGTCATTTATCCTCCACACCCACACATGCACACACCCCCACACATGCACACACCCCCACACACAGAGACAAGCGTGACAACAAGCAAACCAAGAACTATATTCACATAATACAAGATAGGGCGCAGGGCTCTTGGAATTGACATAGATTAAGGGCATTTTCTTGGATTTGATCTTCTCTTCCCACTTTCTCCGTCACCTCCCACAGCCAACAGCCACTATGTAAGAGGGAGTGTTGGAGGAGCAGGTGAGAGGGAAGGAGCCTTCTTTCTGAAATGGAGGCTTCAATATCCAACAATTGCACACATCTCTGTGAAGAGTTCATTCATTCATTTATTCATTCAAACAATATTTCTTAAGTGCCAACTTTGTGTCAGACGCCACGCACAGGTCCTCACGGAGCACTCAGCTCTAAAAAGTTAATGGGGAAAGCACGCATACAAACAATACAAACACATTACTGGCAGCTGTCCAGGGAGCACTGAGGAAGGGTGCCTCGCCCAGCATGGGGAAGAGGAGTCAAGGAAGGCTTTCTGGAGGAAGTGGCATCTGAATTGAATCTTTATGAATGAGGAGTAGGGAGCCAGGTGCCAAGTTGAGGAAAGCCAGTCCAAGCAGAAAGGTAGGACTGAGCAAAGTCACAGAGGCAGGAAAGAGCTCCATGTGCAGAGAATGACAAGCCACTTGCGGTTGCGGGAGAGAAGCACAAGGTGCAGATGAGGCTCCAGAGAGATCAGATCACCGAAGCCTTTCATGCCGAAACCTCTGAACATGGGGAGCTACTGAGGTGTTAGAGCAGGGGAGGCAAAAGCAGCCTTCATCACCATTTACCTCCGGAATCCTCCTGTCATGGTGACAAAGGCATCGGGCAGAAATGCCCAGACGGCCTCCTTAACCAGCACGCTGACTGCCTCTGCTTCGGCCCTGGTCACACAGCTGACAAGGTCTTCATAGTAGAGGAATCCTGAAAGGCCATGGAACAGGTCAATGGAGAAAGGGATAGGCCTTGTGTGAAATAGCCAGCCCTCAGTGGGAAGGGATTCGGCCCCTCGAAAAGCTAATGTGGTCACAGACACCAGCGCCAAACTGTTCCATGGAGACCGAGTGATCTGTGTTCTCCTGGGTGTGAATTTTTCATGCGAACAATGGCCTTTTGCTTTCTGGGAGTGTCTGCTAAAGCTAAATCAATAGCTATTTATCCTCTGACCCAGCAATTTCACTCCTAAGTATATGCACAAGAGAAATGAGAACATATATCCCCAGGTACAAAAATATTCAGAGCCAGAAACTGGAAATAACTAAGTTCTATCAACAGGAAATAACAGGAAATGGATAAATAAATAGTGATACCAGTGGGGGGGAAATTGCTAAAAGGGTAGATCTTGTGTCAAGTGTTCTCACACCATTAAAAAAATCAGTTTAATAAAATTAAACATATAATGTATTAATGTGAAAAAAAAGCAATGCCCAATTTGGCTCTTTTTTGATATAAAAATTTTCATCCTGACTGATATTCAAAGTACAACTCACTTGGTAACCTTAAAACTCCTGTGCTTATTCAGGATGTAATGTAAATCAAAAGTCATGATTAACAATTTCTTTAAGGAAATATGCAGATATCAGGAATAAACATGGAGATACTATAATAATTTGTTGACACCCATGAAGGCAACTTAATTGGCTTTCCTTTTCGGTATGGCGGGAGGGTAACGTATTACAAGAAACTTACTACACTGTACAGTGTTGTATGTGTGCTCTGGTATTTCGGACACCGATGTGGCATGTGAAGAGTCAAGCCTCAGGGAATTAAAACTAAGGGTTTTAGTTTTAAGTAAAACTGAATCAGGTTTTCCACCTGACCTGTGGATGGTACTTTGAGCGTCTTCAATTAGCTTACGCTTGGCGATATTCTAATATTGACAAGCCCACACATTGCAGTGCTGCTGCCAGGGATACATAAAGCCAGGGCTTTTAAGCTTTAAGTATGATAGGAAGGCATTCCTTGACTTCCACATAAAACAAGAGCATTAAACAGTCAGATGGCCATCACTGATGGATTAAGTAAGTAATGACTGCTTCATTCACCGAGCTGGAAGAGCCCAATAGGAAGGGGGAAAATCCAGTTTACAAAGCTGGGGAACTGGGAGCTACTTGGATCTTAAGAGCACTTGTGTCACTCGATAAAGGTTTTCATCCAAGGGAAACACTGCATTGCCTCCCACTTTCTCTATGTGTTGAAAGTCCTTGCTATCCTTGTGAGCCATGTTTAATACTTACATAAAAATTTTAATGGCATCTCTAGAGCTTGTTACATGTGCACTTTAAGGCGCCCAGAACATGAATATGGGTCTTTTTTGTCTTAGGCTCTTTTAGTCACCAGGTGGCATCTTATAAAGCTTATTAGCAATCTTGCTGAGGTTAGCAGCTTTATGAAAGATGAATAAGGGGTCTTCCATGGTAGTGTTGATGTGAACCACCAAGAACTGCTTTCTTCCACTCCCCTTGCTTGTTTCTTTTAAACAGAAGAGAGCTGTCTCCTTTTGTAGAAGATTCCCTTACTTTCATATCATTAAAAATGTTGATGACTTCATCATTCTTTGTAACTTAGAAGCCACAGTGCTCAGAACTGTGACTGTGACTTCCTTTCCAATCCCAGTTATACTGTATTTCTATTATAGATTAAAAATAAATTGTTTAAAACCTGTCCTATTTTTGACCCCTTTTTTTTTTTTTGCATTTCTTCATTAAAAAAAATTTACCAGGACCCTCCATGAATGGAAGTAGCCAAGCCGCCTTCCACCCCGGGAGGCCACGTCAGGCTTTTAGATGCCCAACTCTACGCTCTCCTGTTTTAGGTTGACGAGTCCTGGTGGCGTAGATAAACCCCGTGTCTAGATTTCCACCGTTTGCCTTCTATGTCCTGGTGTTTAACAATTTCAAAAGCAGATTCATATATGTGCCAAGCAACAGCTCTAGTTTGGTCAAATATTCTTTACTCCCCAATCGTCAATGTCAAATTTCTCTCCTGGATTCCTCACCTACGCTTCTCACCCAGCCAAGACACAGATGTCTAGAAGTGTCAGTTCAGTAAGAACTAGATCAATGGTGCAACTGTTTGACATCTGGATAAAGGAATGACAGCGGGCTGCCACGCAGTGTATATTTGGTCTGTGCTAGGCTGAGAGCTTTGGCTGCGAGATTCAATCTTGTCCCCTCTTATGTGCCAATGTTACCTCCCTGTTACAGATAGGGCTCAAAGATTTTAACATGATCAAGATCACGCAGCTGGAGCCAGGATTTGGATCCAGGTCTGATTCTAAAAGCTTGAGGTTTTAGCCATAGCATGAAAGGAGGCCAAACAAGTGACCAGCTCGCCAAGACTGGAATCAAAGTACAGCAGACAGACCTCTACCACAGCCTGACCAGCTCGTGGCAACAATGTGAGATTTTTAGGAGAGACGAGTCACCTGCTTTCTGCATTCTTGTGAATTTCAGGGTTTCATCCGACCTTATTTTACTCAGAGTTCTGAACCCCATCCTGAACCATTTCTCAGATGTTTTCAATCCCACTCCAAATACAGAAGTAAAGAGCTGAAACAAACGGAAGGACAAGCTTTTAGTTTCTGTAACAGTCATTATGACAATGAAGTGACACTTTTCAAGGACAAGTGATTAAGAAAAAGTGTAAACAAATCTCTGATCTAGTTTCTCCTGAATATGACAAGCAGGTAGGTGATGGTATTTTTTCAGAAGCATGTCTATTTCAGGAGGGCCCTGTTCTGATATGTGATATTACTAAATGAAACAGAAGTGAGGAGTCGGCTGCTGGCACCGTCCAGGGCTTCCATATAACCAATAAAGACTGCCTGCACTGATAATTCGTGACATCAGGTATCCCCATCCAACACCCTCCTTGCCAAGGGTCTCACACACACATATTCATACACATTCACCCTCACAATTTAAAGAGGGATGCACATGTGGGTTGCATAAATTCTTCATCATCACACAACTGGTAAGTGGCAGGGCCCGGACTCAACCCAGTCTGCCTGCAACTGCACTCCAAGCCTGGGCTTCTGCGCCCCCATCATCTTTTAGACCTGAGCATCACTCCTGAACCAAAAGGACTGGTAGAAATCTCTGCTGCCTGCAACTCTGAGGTAGGGAACATTGGGAGGTAACAGATCCTGCTTCAAAGTAGACAAGGGTGCAGTGAGGATCTTTCCAGCACAGGTTTGCTCTTCCCAGAGCAGGTTTGTTTTGTCCCACAGTCCTAGTGGTTCCATGCTATTTATACCCAGGAGTGACTCCTGGGAAGTAAGATCAGTTATATCTCACCACAGCATGGCAATAATCTAGAGCACCCATATTTATTTAGGCCTCTGCTTCCTAGACCACTGCTATGGACTGAGTTGTGCCCCACCTCCCAAATTCCTATGATGAAATCCTAACCTCCAAGGTGATGGTATCTGAAGATGGGGTTTGGGGGAGATAATTAGGTTTAGATGAGGCCATGAGGGTGTGGCCCTCATGGTGGGATTAGTGACTTTATAAGGCAAGACACCAGAGTTTGCTCTCTCTCTCTCTGTCATGTGAGGGACATTGAGAAGGAGGTGGTCTGCAAATTAGAAAGAGAGCCCTAACCAGAGCCCAACCATGCAGGCACCCTAATCTCAGACTTCCAGCCTGTAGAACTGTGAGAAAACAAATGTTTGTTGTTTAAGCCCAACCCGTGGCTTTTTGTTACAGCAGCCCAAGCTGACTAGTACAACCACTTAGGATAAGTAATGGGACTAATGGAAAAACCATTTTTGATAAATACATGTAAAATCACTTACTTTGAAGGACTGATATCGTTCATCATTTAACACAGCTTTAACTTCAGAACTTTCTCCATCTTCAATAATTTCCTGCATAACAGTTGAAACATATTTTAAATTAGTGATGTTGAACAATCACAATCAGAGATTTTCAAATCCCCAGATCTAGGAGCTTGATTTTCCATGAAATACACCTGTTGCAGGCAGGCTGTTTCCCTAGCTGCTCTAGAGAAAATGAGACATTTCCTGTAATCCTGAGAATCCCAGTACCCCTTTACAATCATCAGGGAGGAAGGGAGAGAATGATTAGAATGTCCAAATCCACAGAACACTAAGCCAAAATACGCACTGACAGAAGTATGTCTAAATATTTGTGATAATTTTCTTTTCAATGGATATGAACTAGCAGAAACAAGAGGACTTTTCATCTGAACAGGTTAATTTTGAACCCACTGAAAACCTAATCCAAGTTCAAGCCCTTATGCTGTCTAGCACCCACCTCCTCTAAATAAAGTTGAGATTATTGTCCCTTGAGTAAGTTACCTTCCACTTGACTCTACTGAAACTTACTCTTGGACAACCAACTTGCCTTGCTGGGGAATCCTTAAACATCGTTTAGTAAATAAGCACCCATCTTTGGTTCTCTTCTTAGAACACACAGGTAGAGATGCAGAATCAGCTCCATCACCCACCACACCCACTGCCATTCTGGAGGGCAATGTCCCCTGAAGGGAACTGAGGCTCTTCACACAGCCTGTGTTCGAAGTCATACCATCCCTTGCTGCTGAGCTTTTAGGTCACTTGAGTCTTTCATTGTGATTCATAATACAAGGGAGTTCTTTTTCCACTAGCTGGTCCCACATAGCTCCAGCTGTGATAATACTAGGGTAAGAATCATATCTATCTAATATGTATGTTATATAATATACGTATCTGTATAACCTATGTATTAGAGAGAAAGGAAAATAAGTCATGAATACCATATCTATATAGATAACAAGAAAATCTATTGACTGCATCTCCCTTCTCTGCTTCCCCTCTCCCTACCTAGTAGGAGGTGGCACAAATCATACTTCACCCTTACCTCTATGATACACTTCACTTTGTTTTCCAGGCAGGGAATTCCTTCTGTGTCCTTCATACTGATGATTGTGAATGGCAGGGATTTAAGGACAGAAGCTGCTCTCAAAAATGTCACAGAGAAGATTTCATTTTCTCTAAACTCATAATTTTCAGCCAGTACTTCAAAGGCATCCTGAAGAATAAAACCAGATGAGCAAAACATGATCTATTTCCCAGCCCCTGAGCCAGCAGTCACTCACAAATGCCTCCTGCTCTCCATTAAGTATCAGAACATGTCCTGTTTCCTCGAAGATCAGGACTGGGTCTCCTGCACCTTTGCGCCCCTCCCTTGCTGGACCAGTGGAGTTGAATTGAAAAGACAGGCCACAGAGTGCTTTGTAAGGAAACTCTCAGTTTGCTGCCATTAGATATTCAGGAGTGATTTAATTAAAAAATGATTTCATGCTCACTGCATCCTCCTAGTCATTACTCAGCACCATCCTTCCCTCTTTGCTGACTTTCCCACCAGCCTGAGGCGAGGATTCTGCCTTGATCATTGGGAAACCCCATCTCTTAACTTGTACGTGAAACACAGTCAGCACTTAACATGAGCCTGTTGAATGGATGGGTACAGTCATAGGTGGCACAAGCCCACAGCCAGGGGTCCTGAAGGGAGGGGGTTATTTAAGGTAGGGCATGCTTGCATTTCTGGCAGAGGAGGAAGTTGCTGCAAAGTGTGGCATCATGCACGTCATGCCCAGTGGCTGCAATTTCCTGGTCTTCCTTGCACACGTGGCGCTAGAAATCTAGAAAGGAGAGGTCGTGTATTTGACATACTACTGCATGTTCTACCCGCCCGACTCTCTTCTGCAGGACAAGCCGCTGTGGGCTTGTCGGGGTCATTTGAGATATAATTATTAACCTTCAGGGCTGAATGGGGCTTTAGAGATGATCTAGCTAATTTCTTACTGAGCAGACGAGGAAACTGAGGCTGGGTGAGAGGAATTGACTTGCCCAAGCCGGTTAATATCAGTGAGGCTGAATCCAGTCTGCTGCCTCTCCATCTTCTGGTGTTTATGCACAGTTGCTCTTTCTGCGTGATCTGCTCTTACTTCGTGGTGGACTAATTACAGTCCGTATTTGGTTTTTGAGAACATTTGCCTTTGACAAATGTTGTGTGACAACTCCCAATAAATAGTAACCTACTGTCTCTAAAGAATATGCTCCAAATATATTTGTCTATTTCCATGACAGAAGGAGGAACCAGAGATCTGGTTAGAGGAGCAGATAAGAGTGGGAAAAACTTTCCAAGATTTTCAGGAAAATTCATAATTTGATTTCGAGATCCATGGAAAGAAGCTGCAGGCCCTTCGTTTGCTCTAGGTGTGGTTGTAAAGACTCATTACCGTGAATATGTGGTTACAGTTGTTTAAAGTGGTTCTTCTCTGACACGCATACTGAGAGATTTTTTTTACAGCCAGTGGTGGAGTCTTCTGGAAGCCTGGGTTGGGGCTACCTGAACAGTCTGTTTTCACCTAAAGAAACACAGAAGCATCCATTGTCAGTAACAATTAATAGTAATAATAATAGATGTGTATGAAGAAAACATTAGAGGCAGCTTGATGGCAATTGTCTTTGGAAAGAGAATAAAATTATAGAAGACTCAAATGTTATGTTATATACATCTCTAATACTTGAATTTGCAATGGATTAACATGTATTATTTTGCCATCAGAAAAAAATGACATGAAAAAGAACCACCAATTAAACCATCATTTTCCTTTTCAGTGAACTTACACAGTTACGGTTCATTGGTGAAGGATTTGGAATTAAGAGCTAAACTTTATTTTTTCGTTTGTGAATGATCACAGTAAGAAAAAATATGAACCTTCTACTTTTCTGACTGTTAGAACACCAAGACTTCAGTATTTTGAAGTGTTTGTGTATAGATTTGTTCATAAAATAGCTACCATTTATTAAGTGCATATATAGATCAGGCTCTGCCTTAAGTACATAACATGTATTTTATTCTAATCCTTATATCCATCTTAAGAGATAGGCAGGCACTATTGCTCTCATAATATAGGGGAAGAAACTGAAGTTCAGAAAAGCTAAGGGTTGCCCAAGGTGACACAGGGAGTAAGCAGAGAACCTGGGGTGTAACCCAGGTATCTTGATTCTGTAGCCCATGTTCTGTCATCAAGCAAAGGGCAGTGAAAATCGCAATGTGACACTTACAACAAGCTGGTGTTTCCCTGTCATCTCCACCGGTTTTCCCGCTTCCATACTTTCTATCAGCCAGGAGACGTCGAGGAGTTCTAGCTGTGAGCCGGCTTTTATGTTCTGTACCTGAAGCCACTCCAGAACCTCTGAACCAGAGTTGTTTTCTGCCACAATGTGGGTGACGGAATCACTGCAGAATGCAAGACAAAGTTACCAGCTGAAGGGCCTTGCATAAATGAGAAGCTTGCAGATACCAACTACGATATATAAGATAGAAACAACAAGGTCCTGCTGTACAGCACAGGGGACTATATTCAATAGCTTGCAGTAACCTATAATGAAAAAGAATATGAAAACGAATATATGTGTGTAGCTGACTCACTATACTGTACACCAGAAAGTTATACAATATTG